TACTACTACTACTGCTACTACTAGTACTACTACTACTACTACTACTACTACTACTACTACTACTACTAGTAGTAGTAGTAGTAGGAGCAGCAGCAGCAGCAGCAGCAGCAGCAGCAGCTGCTGCTTCCAGCAACACCAGCGGCAGCAGATGCAGTAGTAGCACTGATAATAACGAAAACAAATAATAGCAGTACTTACATCATAGTAATGACACCTCATGAAGTCTTGCTTAGCTGCGGAGAGCTGTGCTTCTACATGTTCTGATTTTGCAACGAGTTTGTCCATTAACAGCCAACATATTCCGACAATACTTCACCCGTAATCAATAACCCCCACTCTTTCAAGGAGGATGATAGAAGGCATCAGAATATACGGGCCTTCAAAGAACTTAGTGTATTGAGCAGGGGTCTACATTAGTAGTCGCCTGTCCGTCTTGTGGCGGTGCGTCATAACTCTAAATTGTACAATGCAGCAACTTGTTTGTCTATAATTGCATTGCAACTGTCATCCTGCGAACATGTCATCATGGCTGGCAGCAACTACCGGCACTACCACTGTAACATAAGCCCCAAAGAGTCCTGACCCTAAACCCTAAACCCTANNCCTAAACCCTAAACCGTAAACCTAAGCTCTAAAACTAAACCCTAAACCCTAAACCCTAAACCTAAACCCTAAACCTAAACCCTAAACCCCAAACCCTAAACCTCATCCCATGTTGCGGAACCTGCTCTCGGAGCTGCGCCATCTTTGTCCGCAGGTCCGCGATGTTGTCGACCTCGAGGGCGGCACAGCCACAGATGAACCTCGGGCTGCGGTTTGGGGGGAAGGGGGGCTTCGGGATTTAGGGTTTAGGGTTTAGGGACTGCAGCTTGAGAGAAAGTTCACGGTTTAGGGTTAAGGGTTTTAGGGTAAGCTTTAGGCTTTGAGACGTAGGGCCTGGGGTTTAGGATGCTGGGCTTCCGGGCTCGTGGTCTGTGGTCAGGGGCGGAGGCGTACTGGCAATGGCCATCGCGACTACTATCATATTCATCATCGGCACAAACCTCCTCCTCATCTTTCGCATCAGAATGTTACCCTAAACCCTAAAACCCTAAACCCTAAAACCCTAAAGCCCTAAAACCCTAAAACCCTAAACCCTAAAACCCTAAAATCCTAAATGAGCTGCGATGCTAGTCTTCCTTCCCTTTCGGGCTTTCAAGGCTCCCGGGTATGGGAGCTTCCGGGCGGGACCTATGTCACACAAAATAAACTCGAATTTCTACCTGGGTTCATCAGTCCCTCGAACCTCTGAACCCAAGCCCTGAACCCCGAAACCCTGAAACTCCAAACCGCAAATAGCAAACCCCAAACCCGTACACTTTAACCTATATTATATTGCTACTGTCCTAAACCCGGTCTGCCCAGTGACTCCCGCCGACGAAATACGCCCATCTCTGCTGCGTTGCAGGCAGCTGCCAGGGCGAGAGCAGCGACATCTGTCCCAGGATCCACCTCACACAAAGGGCCGTGTGTCTATCTATCTATCTATCTATCTATCTGTCTGTATGTGTATAGAGACTGAGGGAGATGCAGATACAGATATGGACATGCTGATACATATGTATGTATGTATGTCTGTATGTATGTGTGTGTATGTATGTATGTATGTATGTATGTATGTATGTATGTATACGCGGGAGTCTACTATACGCGGGAGTCTACACTGGGGATTCCAGAAACCTCAAGGCTGTTCAGCCCCAGGTTCCCCCCTCCAGAGGAGCTGAAAAGAGCACCCAAATCTATAATTACACTCAACCCTAAAACCTAAACCCTAAACCCTAAACCCTGAAGGCAATGTCAGGGTATGGTAGGTTTCAGTAGCTTAGATTTACGTGCTCTGCTGATCGAAGCATCCACCTTTCAGGCCTCAACCCATACGAAACCCTGAACAGGCTGAGACAGGCTTAAGGTTCAGGTTGCAGGCTTCAGGGATTAAATGATTAGAGTTCGGGGTTGACGGCTTAAGGTTAGAGATTCATCTTAGCTGATTTTCTCCTTTAACGCTGCAAGAAGACCCTGGACAAAATCCATGCCCTGACCTCAAGCCGGCCCAGCTACTAGGCGCCCGATTCAGATGGACCTAAACCCTCCAACACAAAACCAATGAAACCTGGAACTTTAGAAAGAAGCCCGAGTCTGCTTCGACTCACTCCCCCCCCCCCTTCTTTGCCTGCCCACCTCCAAGTCTCTGAAGAACTCCAAAAACTTCTCGCCAGCCACTCCATCCGGCCCACCCGGATGGTCCGCTGGAGGGAGCTCGTCGGCATACTTCTGGTAGAGCAGCTTCAACGCCTTCTTTTTTGGACCATTCACGGCGAAACCCGAATCCCCAACCCCAAATCCAAAACTCTAAACCTCTCAACCCTAAACTCTAAACGCTAAACCCCACACCGTAAACCTTGAACCCCAAAAAACCTTAAGCCCCTAAGCCCTAAACCCTAAGCCCTGAAGCAGCTCCAAAGGCCTTCTTGTTGACATTCGGCTGCCGGACACTCTTCCGAAGCATCCTGCAGAAAAACTCTAAAAACCAGTGGCTCCCTTTTTGGGGTCGTTGCACTTGTGTCGAAACGCATTTTTTGTTTTTTAGAGGCCTGCTTGAGTCGCGGCCTTTAGCCCCCCTAAACAACCACAACGATCCACAACGACACACAAGGCTTCTCGAAAAGACCCTCAACCCTCAACTTAAAGCCCCAATACCCTGAACCCTAAACCCTAAACCGCTCCTCGGGACAGCATACTGCTCCGTCGGCATGGCAACCATGTCCTGGAGGTCCACAGCGAAGTCTGCACCGTTGATGGACACCGTCCCACGGCGCTGGCCCCGCCGGACGAGGGTGTTGATCTCGGAGCTGACAGCCTCAGGGCTCAGGCTGAAAGGAGTTCTACAAAGGCTTACGAGAAGGGTTACTCTAAGGGTAGTCATTTAGGGTTTGGGGGCCTGGGATGTGCGACTTAGGGTTCAGGTTTACGACTTAGGGCTTAGAGGCCTGAACTTGCTATGTGATGGCTGCACCCACCCCACAACCATAACGACTACAACAACCACGATGATCATGACGATGATGCTGATGATGATGATGATGGTGATGATGAACATGATGACGGTGTTGATGTTGGTGATGAAGATGATGCTGATGATGATGATGATGATGGTTGTGATGGTGATGGAAATGGAGATGGTGATGGTGATGATGTTGATGGTGATGGTGATGTTGCTGATGACTACAGTTAGAAGCGCCAGCCGCCTCATGGAAAGGCCGCCAGATGCCCGGAGACCCAAAGGCGCGGTCCCGGAACTCCCAGCGTGGGGGAAGCGCCATCTCGAAGGACCGGTCGCAGTCTGCATCCCAGGTCTGGAAATCCATGGCGCTGACCTCGGGGAGATGCTTCGGCTTTGGGCTTTAGAACTTTCTAGGGCCTGAGGGTTTAGGGTTTAAGATTTCCAGGGTGCAATATTCGACTCGGGCTTCTTCACGGTTTTGGGGGGTTCTTTGGAGGTCGAGGTTTTGAGCCATGAGGTGACCTTGGTGTCCGCGACCCTGGTGACCTTCACCGTCCTGAGGCAGTGCCTCCTGTCACCCTTGATGCAGAGGCTGCCCGTCCTGGCAACTTCCGAAGTCAACCGAAGGGAGTGGGCCCAGGGCAACCCGCTTGGAGTGCCATGGGCTTTGAAACATCGAAAGAATCTGAGCAAAGGCAGCGGAGCGACCATGAGACAGTGGAAGTCGCACACCACCCTTACGGAATGCCGTTTGCTACGAACTCAACATACAGCTCTCGTAAGGCTGAGAGCAACAAAGCACCACTCAATGAGAGCCTCTGTCAGCAGCTCGATCAGCTTCTTTCCTTCGTCGCCCTGAAGACAAGGAGGAAGTAGATACAACAGCGTCGGAGAGGGGAATTCTTGCATACCCGATGGATATCTAACGAGTCAGGCCCCAAGCTCCTAAACTAGCCCAAAACCCTCGGACTGCGCTGTCTGTACGCTCCTTTTTCGGTGTCTCTTTTCTATGAAACACCTTAACCGCAGAAAACAAATCCGGATCTCGCAAGTCCCAGGGTCACAAAACAGCAAATTCCAAAACAGCTTGGATACCCAAGATCTTGAAGTCTTGACCTCGCTGGCTGCTGCAATACTACTCCTCCTCCTCCTACTTCCCCTACGTCCTATGATGACAACGACGACCACCGTGCTTCTGCTGATTCTGCACACTGGCTGTCTGATGCTGGTTTTATCTGCTTTGGCACTATGCAACCCTTTCGCCCCTCACATTCCGAAACCCTGACCCAAACCCCTGAACCCTAAACCCTAACCCCTAAATCCTAAACCCTAAACCCTAACCCCTAAATCCTGCTTACCACCCGAACTACCAAGCCCCCATCTCGAAAGGAGAACCCCTGTGTGGCCTGAAGCACACGGCGAAAGTCCGCCAAGGTCTTCACACCGTGCTTCCTTGGGGTAGTAAAGGGGCTCGAACAGTTTCTATTCTTTTTTTGGGCGGGTCCTTATTATAATTACAGTACAATATCCCCCAAAAAGGCTATTCTGATCATACTTAAAGCATCATGTACCCCAAAAACCCTTTTTCTAACTTATCAAGGCCCCTATATGCGGTCTGGGCTCTCAGGGCTTCATCGATTTGGGAGGCTTTGGGGTTCAGGCGTTTCTGGGCTGAGGCTTTGAGAATATAGGGCAATTTTGGGCTTTGGGGTTTAGGGTCTAGGGGTTTAGGGTTTAGGGGTTTGGGGTTTAGGGGTTTAGGGTTTAAGGTTTGGGAGTTTAGGCTGTCGGCAGTTTGGGGGGGTCTAGGAATCAAGAATCAGGGGCTGGGGATAAGGATTCAGGGTAGTATCAAGTCCGAACACGTTGGTAGTTCACGGATCTGAGCTTTCTGATTGTGCCATTCTTGGCACATCTTGCGGCCCGAATGACAGGCTTTAGGACATAGTGTCTCAGCGTGCTGGATCTGGGTTTTAGAAGAGAAACCCTAAGGAATGCTGAAAAGTTGGATCCAGGATTCCCTTTTTTTGGCCGGCTGGTCGGCCTGAAAACGCTCAGGGGCTTCATTAAGACAGCCGTCTTTGATTGAACCTGAGGGTTTAAGCTACTGTATGGGGTTGATGCATCGGGTTCTAGGACTTCATGGTGTGAGGTGTAGGGTTTAGGGTTTAGGGGGGTTTGGGGCCTCCAAGTACTTACCCCTAGACATCGAAAACCCAAAACCACGACGTGGTTGAGGCTCAGACTTGAGCTGTCGAGCGCATGCACTTGTGGCAGCCTGCTTGGCAGAGGGACCCCGAGTTGCCCCGATTCAGGTTAGGGTTCAGGGTTCAGGGTTATGGGTTCAGGGTTCAGGGTTATGGGTTTAGGGTTCAGAGTTATGGGTTCAGGGTTCAAAATTTTCGGGTAGCAACCCTAAACCCTAACCCCACTCTGAACTCTGTCTCCACCGCGTGCCCCGACTCCCACGACTGTCTGTCGGCCTCCAACTTCGCGCCCGGAATGGACATGACCTGTCTATCACCAAGAGCGCGTCAGACCGCCTTAAGTAAAGCTCTTCCTTCTACGAAACAGCAGCCACCATTGCGCGTTTAGGGTTTGGGGTTTCGGATAGACTTCCCATTCAGGAGGTTAGGCACTTGGCAGGACTATCCGTCAAGGCCGGCTCCTGACGTCGAAAGCGGAGATTGTGGAGGGTTTCGAGTTTGGAATACCGTTTTGGATGTGTCATAAGGATAGATATATAATGTATATTTACGTGTATACACATATATACATACCCCTATATATATATATATATGTATGTATGTATGTATGTATGTATGTATGTATGTATGTATATATGTATGTATGTATACATACACAGATCAAGCTACAATTTATACACATTGTATATATTCATACCTACCTACCTACCTACCTACCTACCTACCTACATACCTAGCTACCTACACCTACACCTACACCTACACCTACACCTACACCTACACCTACACCTACACCTACACGTACACGTACACGTACACATACACATACACATACACAATACCAATACACACACGCATACGCATACACATACCCATGCGCATGCGCATGTGCATTGCTAGGGGGACGTCCGGCCTCCCGTGCATTGAGTAGCTCCCGGTAGATGAAAGAGCTCGGCCCCTGCCCAGACGCGAATCTCGGTGTGTGCATCTCAAGGCTTCCACACTTTTGCCCGGACAGTGGTGTTACAAGGATTATCACTGTCAAGGCTTTATGAACTTTAGGGCGGAAGATGAGGAATGTATATAAAAGATTTGCGGCTTTGAGGTTGCAAGATTCGGGGGCCTAGAATCCCGGAAAACAGAACAGGCTCTCACACGCTGCAATCCCGAAACCTCAACCAAAAAAAAACCTAAACCTTAAAACCCTGAACCCCAAAAATCCGCCTAAATCCCTTAATTAATTTAAGACTAAGCCCCATAAAACCCTTTATCGCTTACAGCCGGCCTTCTTGAGAAAGCTCGGCAGCTGCACGAGGTGAACCTCGATGGCCTCGGGCTTATACTGCTGCGCATCATCCTACGTTATATTACGCTATTTGATGCTGTCTTATCTTACACTACGTTGTAAACTCAATCATAAGATCTTAACAGATTGTCATTGGAATGGTTGTTCTTCTTCATATTGTCGACCCTGAACCCTACCTCCAAAAGCCCTGGAGCACTGCACCTCGACATCCTAAGCCCAGATCCAAAAAGCTCTGCACCCTGCTGCCCTCAACCCTTGATCTTCGACTCAAGACCCTTTGTCCCAAACCTCTAAGCCCCGAAACACCTAAACACCTAAACCCCAAACCCAAAAACCCTAAACCTCTAAGCCCTGAACCCCAAGCCCTAAACCTCTAAGCCCTGAACACCTTGAACTCCAGAGAGAGCCCAAAGAGCCCAAAGCCCGAGTTCTGGGACTGCGGCGAGTTCCCTCTCCTCCGGGGGCAGCCCCTCGGGTTTGTAGGTTTCTTTCGGGTTTGGGGTTTAGGGTTGAGGGTTCGGGGTTTAGGGTTTAGGGTTGGAGAGGTTGGCACCAGGGAGGGTGAAGACGTGGGCATTTCAGGCTAGAAAAAAATGGTTTACTGGTTCGGGGCTGCGGCTGTGGCGATGTTTGGGCTCAGGGCTTGGGGGTTATGTGCTACTTTGAACTGATGATGCTGTTGATGATATAAATCCTGCACTACCTTACGGACCCTAAATTATGGGCATCATGGTATATTCCATAGTATGGGTACTTATCCCTAAACCCTAAACCTTAAACCCTATAACTATGGTGTATTCACTACTAAGGGGCAACGCAGGATTTATATCCCTAAACCCTAAACCCCAAATCGTAATATACCTTATTATGGGCAATGCAGGATTNNAGGATTTGTATCATCAACCGTAGAGATCACACCGGAAGCCCGCAACCCGAAGCCCTGAACCCTCCGAGCCCCTGGGCCTGAACCCTGTGACCTGAAACCGCACTAAAGTCGCTTAGGGATCAGGGATTAGGGTGTAGGGTTTAGGGCTTAGGGTTTAAGGTTTAGGGCTTAGGGTTTAGGGTTTAGGGTTGCTACCCATAGGCCCCTAAGTAGTTCCTTTT